CGGGTTTCCTTGGTGGAGTAGGGATTTGAACCCTGACCTGCAGAGTCATAGTCCAGCACTCAAACCACTATGCCACACTGGCTCTCTTATGTATGCAATTAAAAAAAAACACCCTCCCACGAGGTGAGATTATGAGATTTTCTTTCTTCTCCTTTGGTACTTTTTAGTGGATAAGATTTCTAAAAAAGTTTTGCTGTGCCCAAATGATTGTATTTCATACAAAATATTGTGTGGAAAAAGCATTATCTGCTTCGCAAAATAATTTTAGAGGCCTTCACCCAGTTCTGTGGGTATGATTACTCCAGTCTTGTGGCAGACTGAAGCATTTTAGTAATGTGGAGAATTTTTGCAAAATATGTCCAGTCCATTATATTGGACAGAAGCTATAGCAGCAGAGAAGGCATAACCAAAATGGTTCAGCGCAGTCACTAAAGCAGCTGAGTTGATTCAAGCAAAATAATGCATCCAGGGGATTAGTTTGTGGGGCCTCATGCTTTCATATATCAATTTCTAAAAATATCTCTTTACCACAATCAATTTGATTTTCAGTGCTTCCATATTATCATTACCTGAAGGAAACAGGACAGATCTGCCACTCAGAACTGATATTACATGTCCCAACTAGAGCTGACATAACTGTAATTCAAGCCATACTAAAGGGCATGGACTCTGAATTCGCCCAGCATTGTGCAGTGGGGCTTTAACTGCAAAATTCTCATTATTAGCACAAGTTTTGTGGCACAAGGCCCCACATCAAAAAATGTCACTTCGCTTTATTTCCTGCTTCCATTCATGATCCACTCTGACAGCACTATCATCAAGAGGAACATTATGTCAGCCCGCCTGATGCTTCTTGAAGCTGTCAACAATGCTTAGAGTCAGGTCATCCAAACTTTTAAAAACTTAATCATTTTTATACTCAATGCATAAAAGTTGAATGCAACATGCCCATACATATTCTTTGCATAGGGCATTTTACTGACCTTGGTGGCCAATGACATCATCAGGCTGTTGAAACATTTAGGTAGTACAAAGCACTTTCTTCAGAGAAAGCATGTTCTTAATGGCAGAAGTACACCTGAGGTGGCAAAATAAGAAGGCTTTTTCTCGGTCAAGAAAATATATGCAATAACCTGCAATGGATTGCCAAACTATGTGTGTAATTCAATATGCAAGAGCATCATTTTCAGTCAACTTTGTACTGTTGTGTATGTATAAGACAAATCTTAAAGACAAACTATAGTGGGCCCTTGGTATCCAGTAGAGTTTGGTTCCAGGATCCCCCAGGGATACCAAATTCCGTGGGTGCTCAAGTCCCATTATATACAATGGAATACTAAAATGGTGTCAAGGTGGCACCATGGCAAAATCAAAGTTTGCTTTTTGAATTTTATTTTTTGGGGAATATTTTCAAGTCACGGATGGTTGACTACATGGGTGCAGAGTCCATGGATACAGAGAGCTGAGTGTACATTATTTTGATTCACCCTTTTTATTTCTAATCTTATTTCTAATTGTGATCTGTTGTTAGTATTTGCCATCATGTCAACTTTGATATGTTGTTCCCCTACGAAGAAAATATCTCCAAGAGCCGGGTCAACAACTGCGCTGGCTCAGGTCTTATAAACTCAGGGTTGTGGCTTCCTTGATTGAATATTCCATATTTTAGAGTGGTCTCCCTCTTTTTCTACTGTCTTCCACTTGAACAAGCATTATTGTATTTTTCAACGAGTCATGTTATCTCAAGGTAGATCCAAAGTACATCTTGTTTCAGACTTGATTTAGAACCTTATCTCATTCTTACATGCCTGATCTGGTTTAAAATTTAAAGCAGGTGGCATCCTGATATTATCAGATATTATCAGAAGGATTTACCATCTCTTTATGGCAAAGAGAAGTGGCTAACATATAATGATTTGTTATTAAAAGACGGAGTAAATGTCGCTATTAAGACACAGGAACAATTAAACCAAGAAGGCTGTTGTTGTAACTGGTTCTCTTACAGACAAATAAGAGAACGTTTTCTATTAGACAAGAAGACTAAATTGATTGGCATTTTAAATAAGGAATTTGAAGAGATAATTAAATCAGAGGATAAACATAAGATATCAAAATTTTATAAAATGCTATTAGCAATTGAGATAGAAAAAGATTTAATTAAGCCTCAGATGATAAAATGGGCACAAGATTTTGGCCATAATATTGACCTAGACCAGTGGGAAAAATGTTGGGGAAGAAGATTGAAATACACATTAAATTATAACATTAAGGAAAAATTTTACAAAATGCAATATTGCTGGTATTTAACTCTGGTTAAACTAGCTAAAATGAATAAAACCCAAGTGCATACTTGTTGGAAATGTGAGAAAAAAGTCGGATCCTTGTATCATCTATGGTGGGAGTGTAAGAAGGCGAGGAAATTTTGGAATGATGTGAGAAACACCATGAGTGAAATCCTATGAATTAAACTGGAATTTGATCCACAGATATTCCTTTAGGGTATAATTGTAGATGAAGATATGGAGAAAAAATATGGAAAAATAATGTTTTATCTTATTTCAGCCGCAAGAATAATATATGCTTCAAAATGAAAGCCAAAGATACTCCCACTATCCAGGATTGTTATCACAAGATACTAGATATAATAGAAATGGATAGATTAACAGATCTAATTAAAGGTTTGAGTTATGACACTTTTAAGAAAGATTGGAAAGTTTTGATTGATTACTGGAAACAAATAGGGGGCTCAGATTGTACTATAGGTTTAGTTTCAAATTGTAACTGTAAATGTGTTTCAATGTGAGCATTGTCTAATTCGTTAAGTATAGATTGGTTAGGTCTTATAGTATTAGTTACTAGAACGTACTAAAAATTAATAGGGATATATTGTATGACGTGAGACATTAATAATAATGATGAAATTAGAAGTTTATGAAACACGGGCTAAATAACAAGATATATCAAGCAAAGAGGTTAGTTTTTAATTGTTTGTTAATATGTAGTTGTTTTTCTTTTTTCTTTTTGTCTTTCTTTCTTTTTCCTTTGTTATTGTATTGTATTGTCTTTGTTATGTATTGTTATGTATTGTTTTTATTTAACATATATGTATTGCATAGGGATCTATGTAATGTGTCTATTATCTGGTTTTTTAATCAATAAATTTTGTTGAATAAAAAAAAAAAAAGAAGGACTTAGGCACCAAAATTGCCGCCTGGGTCCATCCCGGGTCCATCCCCACTCCCAGGGCCACTCCAGCAGCCATTTTCTTAAGCTGTAAAACTCCCAGCTTTGAAAAGAGGCACGTTGAGTGCCCCTGGGAGTAGGGATGGACCCAGGATGGACCCAGGAACCGATTTCAGCAGCTAAATCCCTCTGATAAAATCAAGATACCGCCTGCTTTAAATTTTAAACCAGATCAGGTAAGGCGATTTATTTAAAAATGCGATAAGCTTCTAATTCTAAGACCCATTAATATGTCTTTCTAGCAATCCATGGTATCCATAGAACTCTTCTCCAGCACCATATTTCTTTTTTTTTACCCTATTTTATTTGTTACTTAAGTATAATGTATTTTAACACTTGTTGGAGGTTTTGATTTATCTCCTTTTTTCTGGGTTGGATTTTTTTTTACTCTGCTTCCATCCTTCAGAAAAAATATCTGTGGTGTTAATATAAGAAAGTAATTTAGCTAAGAGAGGGGGGGCATCATTCAGGGTTACTCTGAGAGATCTCTGGTGAAATCATAACCTTACTACATGCTTCATGCACTGCTAAGCCATAATAAGTTTACTCACATTCTTGTTTCAGTAACTGGGAGACATTCTGAGAGTGCTATGAGCAAATCCTATATAGAGGTTGAACCATTAGTGCTACTATTTCCAACACTTCCAAAGATATTACTAAAATAATTCCTTGTGTTCTTGGAGTGTTTTATCTTATTGTTGTACTTTTAATTCTTCTCTAGTTTAATTCGGTTGTAAGGGGATGGGAGGGTTGGGTTATGAGACGAGGGAATGTTCTAACTTGTTTGTTTTAAAATGTTGTACCCCGCCCCGATTGCCGTGCAGAGGGGCGGGCTATAAATAAATTATTATTATTATTATTATTATTATTATTATTATTATTATTATTATTATTATTATTATTATTATACCAGGAATTTGCTGTGATACATGCATCTAATGTGGGGTTTTATCCCTTGTTTGATATCGAAATCAAATCCCAGAACTTTTAAAGCTTATCAGATCTCCAGTCTTTCTGGGGCATTGGTTATTATTTTCACAAACAGTGATTCGGGAGTTGTACCATACTCAAAGACTTTCATGCAAACTAACTGAACTTCCATGATCCCCAAAGCTCATTTTTAATTGTATTCTTTTAAATTGTAAGCCACTCTGAGTTCCATTTTTTTGGGGAAATCATCATCATCATCATCATCATCACCACCACCACCACCACCACCACCACTTTGAGCAGCAGGTAAGACCTGCACGCCCCCAAGCATGGGGTGTTTCTCTCAGAAGGGAACAGAAAATGCATTGGATAATGGACTTGAGATGGAAGGATCCTTCTAAAGCTTTTAAATTTTAAAAGCTTTAGAAAGCTCCTCTGATGTGCAGTGAGGACAGGCAGCCAAGCAGACCTCAACCACTGTCTCACGCCCATTGCTTAACATGCTAGCAGATCTCCTCTGAGAAATGCACCCTGCCTCCTTTTTGTTTTGTTTTATTTTTTTTTTGTTACAGGTTTGTTCCTAGACTC